GAAAGGAAAGGAAAGGAAAGGAAAGGAAAGGAAAGGAAAGGAAAGGATATGGGTGTTGGAATACACATTTAATTCCAGAAAATCGAGGAAAGACAAAAGAAATTGTGAGTTCCAGGCCTGCGTGATTTGGGCTACATAGTGAACACCAGGACAGCTAAGGACTACATTTGATTCTTGATTTAAAAATAAACCATAATAAAAGATTATAGTAAAGGGACTCTGGCCAGCTCAAGTGTGGTGCGCTTGGTTCTGGCAGGCTTTGCCTTTCCCCATTCCCTCTGCTTTGCTACAGGTTTTAGGTTACATTTTCAAGGCTACCTACAAAGTTCTCTTTCCTTACTATGCCATTTCATCCTCCTAAAATCAAATACCAAGGTCCAGCTTTGGAAGTATCAAAATCCAACAACCCAAAGACCCTTGCTCACCTAATTAACACATCCAATTAAAATTAAAGAGAAGAACAATGTATAACTCTGTAAAATGGATTTTGAGATGGACTACGCATGACAAATTAAAGAATTAGAATTACGTAGTCAGCTATTTCTTAAAGGAAGATAGACACAAAACAGACAAGACATGCCTGGACTTGATGAAGGTTAGATACTTTAGATTCTAGATAATAAAGTATAAACTGTAAAGCATTTGATTTGGAATAATTTGGTGGTGTTCTAGGTTCTAGTTTTCTCAATAGAAATCAAACTCCAGTTCCCAGGCATTACCAGCCAATGACCTATCAGTGTTTCTGCAGACCTCCGTCCCAATGCCAATACAGAAGGACCCCACAGAGGATGGGAGCAACACAATAGATCCCAGGCCTTCCCAGACCCCCCCCCAGCCCTCCTTCTACCTGAGATCAGCTTCAGTGCGTTCTCCAGGTACTCATCCTCCGTGATGCTCTCTCCATCTTTCTGCAGCTCCAGCATGAAATCCCGAACAGCCCAGACAAAGTCTGGGAAGAAACTCACAAACTCTGTGGAATTCTTTATTCCATCAGGATTTGGGGAAGACTTTGCCCTGATCAGCTCAGTGAGTTCTGTGACGTAACTGGTACCGGGTTAAGGAAAAGTGAATTCACATATACATTCTCATAATTCTCTTATTAAAAATAAATCACAATAAACACTCTTTGCTGCCTTGGGTGTCCTCTGGGCCACCAAAAACCACACAGTGACAGGGCAGGTCTGTGTCTCCATATGCATTCCAGAACACTCAATGAAACATGGTCACTCAGGTCCTGCAAGGATACTGCAGCTGCTCCAGGGCCTGGTGGTTGATGGTGCCCATGCTGTTGTAGACAAAGGTGCTGCTCAGAAGCAAAGCCAGGGCAAAAATCCAAGAGTCATTCTTAGGGTCTCCCTGGAAGACACATGAAGGCAGAGTGAAGAACCATTAACCATTCAGAGAGAGACATTGGAGTTCAACATGAAGAACTGAAATGGAAAAGAGACAAGCACTGGCTTTTTACCTTGACCTCAGTTTGAAAATAGTGATCCTGTCTGCAGTAATCTCAGAATGACACTGAGAATCTGTGAATGCCAGAGAGCTGCCCAATCCCTTTTTATAATCCTCTCAAGGACTGGGATTAAAGGTGTGCACTGCCCAGGTTCTATGGCAAACTAGTGAGGCTACTGGGATTAAAGGTATGTATTAATACTACCCAATGTGTAAGGCTGATCAGTGTGGCTGTTTGACTCTCGGATCTTCAAGTTATCTTTCTATATTAAAATACAAACAAAGTGCCACTACACTTCCACCTTTTCTCTAAGATAAAAAAGAAGTATATAAACAATATAAGAAAAAATATATACAATAACGACAATATATACAGACAGTAAATACATCAACTATGTCTAGTTCATTTGGATTTGTCAAATTCAGAGAAAATATTTCATAGCTATCCTACCTTGGTGAGTGCAACGTCTTATACCTAATTTACTTTCTATCCAACATGCTTTCTTCATCTTGTAAACTATAAATATAGTTATATAATCTTCAACTCCCTCAGAGACTCAAGAAGGAAATAGTATTAACTGAGTAAGCAGGAATTGCAAGCAAGTGAACTCCAAAATTGTGGGTAATGACAGAAACATTGACTGCCCAGACAGTCACCCAAAGTTCCTCTGCAATGTTGTAGCATCCGTCTTTGACCTACATACCTAGCACATCTGACAGAGTTTTCTGTGAAGCAGGATAATTTGTGTCCTGCTTGTCTAATTAGGACAGAATACTGTCAGCATTTGAGGCAGGGGCATTTTCTTTCCCAGTGGCTCACTTTTGCCACAAAGAAGTGAAAGTACAAGTGGAATTTCTTGGATGCCCATGATCCTCTCTGAAGTAGATTGGTGCTGCCAGGAGAAGACATGTCTCATTGTCATAAAAAAAGAAGACTTTAATCTATTAAAACTTCTTAAATCCATATTCTGTAGATCTCTGAAGTCTTTATGATAATCTGTCTACCTAAAATATATCTGCTTGACCTTGTAAACATACCAAATATGACTACAAGTTTGATTATACCAGCTGATTAACTACTAACCTACACTTTCTTATTATTCTAAATAGCTGGTAATAATAACTTTCAAGGACTAGAAATTTTACTTACATTGTTAAATGAGTTACATAAGTACAATACCTTGAACAAGATTTGAAATATATGTACAGTATGCTTTAACAACATTAATTTTAAATTTGTATCAATATGCAACATTTCTATAAAATATACAAAAGTTCAGTCAAGTGTAAAACATTTAAAGCTAGCAGCTGCTTTTTCAAGTAGATTCAATAATCAACCTTTTCATCTTTTCATATCTATATCCTCCCTATTTCTTCTATAATCTCTTTTATCCAATCCTATCTACATCCCTATACTTTTGCTTTTCTTTTATCTTTTTTTTATTTTTTGTTTTTATTTATTTATTTATTTATTGCTTTTTTGAGACCGGGTTTCTCAATAGCTATGAAGTCAGTTCTGGAATTTGCTCTGTAGACCAGGCTGATATCAAACTCATAGTGATCTGCTGACTCTGCCTCCCCACCCAAGGGCTGGGATTAAAGGCATGCAAAAAACCACCTGGCTTTCTTTTTCATTTCAAAACAATACCATATGTATACCCTCTCTTATTTTCTTTTCAATACAATAGTCTTGAATCTAATTTCTTTTGTTTAGCTCTTTTTTTCCTGACTATTATCCATAACAACTTGTAACCAACACATTGACAATGACAAATATTCATAATCCATTTTTGGGAATATGGGAATAGTTTTCTATGCTACTTCCTGCAGACTGGGGGGGACTGATAATCTTATGGGGACCACAAAAAATTGAGAATATGATGAAATCCTGACACAGAGTATTCTGTGAGGCTGGATCATCTTGGCCAGCAGCCTTGCAGCTGTTCTGGATGTAGAACTCTGAGGAAACTGCAAGAGAGATGCTCTAAAATGTTGGCTCATCTGGCTCCTATAAAGACATTTTCAGGAGCTGGTTCTTAATCAGCCCTTATTTTTCTTAACCTAACATGAATCCACAATAAATCAAACCTTAATTTTATTAACCAAAAATGAATCCATGGGCTGTCATTTCCTGTGGAAACAAAAGCAAAAACCTCTTCTCCAAAGTAGCATACCTTCTGACTTAAATTTTAAAATCAAGATGCTTTAAAAATATAGAGGTTGGATTAGTCCAGCAGCATTTACAATCAAATATCTTTTAGCAGCTGTTCCTGCCTCAGCAGTCATTTAATTCAAACACAACCCAATCAAAAGTATCCATATATATATATATGTGTGTGTGTGTGTGTGTGTGTGTGTGTGTGTGTGTGTGTGCTTTCTATCTTTACATGGAAGCTAAGCCAGGGAAGATGGGATCTGGAAAGGGTAGTATTTCTCCTCATCCCAGGTGGCTAAGTTTGGGTTCTCAACTGTGCAACTGTGCCAGTAGCAAAAAAGCCACAGGATGCTGTGGGAGCTCCTTCTGCTCCTTCAGCCAATCGCCGCTGAGTTACCAGCCCATTGGGGCGTGGTCTCTCTCTCTTTAAAAAAAGGCAGCTGTCTTCCACTCCCTCTTTGGCTTCCGGCTCTGCTTCGGGCTCCCAGACAACACCCCTCCACACGAACAGCAGAGCAGACCTGAGAAATTGCTGCTACCAGGAAAACATGCTTTACTCTATTCTTTCCCAAGCTTTCTCAAGCTTTCTGTGGATTCAGTTATCCACATTGGGCGCCATATGTAGCATGAGGGCCGGCTGGCTTGTTGGGGTATCTGTCCCACCCAGTACCCCACTGCCGGCATATCCCCAAAAAAAATCACATACAGGACTTCATAAGGTTATAAACTGATTGGCCCTTAGCTCTGGCTTCTTATTAGCTCTTATAACTTTTGTTACCCCATTATCCTTATCTACATTAGCCACATGGGCTCAGTACTTTTTCAGGCGGGGCAGCTTACATGCTGCCTCTTTGGTGGTCTGTGCAGGAATGGCAGAGAAACCTCCCTACTTCCCAAAATTCTCCTGTTCTCATTTCATTACCTCTACTTCCTGTCTGGTTTTCCTGCCTATACTGCCTGCCTGGCCAATCAGCGTTTTATTAAAATATGATTGACAGAATACAGACAATTCTCCCGCATCAACAGGAGAATGGCTTTTACATAAATTCATGTCCCACATTGGGCATCAAATAAAGCATGACTAATAAAAACTCACAGAGAGAAACTGGGGTTCAACCTGAAGATCTGAAAAGCAAAGCAGCCAGCCACTGGATCTTATCTTGGCCCCAGTTGAAAAATGATGATCCTAACTCTAGAAATCTCAGAATGAGACTGTGTCTGAGAACTGTCTCCTCCTATTTTACAATCCTCTGTAGGGCTGGGATTAAAGTTGTGCCCCACAGAGATTAAGGGCATGTACCACCTGGTTTCTATGGAAAATTTGTTTGGCTACCCGGGTTTAAAGAGTGTGTTACCACTACCAGTCTGTAAGGATGACCAGTGGGGCTGTTTTACTCTCTGACCTCAGGCAAGCTTTATCTATTAAAACACAAATGAAATGACATTACAGCAGAGGGCTGGGGAGAGCAGTCCTCAGGAGCCCATTTGGGCTGCCCTGTGGCCTTGTTATTCCAGGAACGCTGGAGGCAAAACAGGGGGAGCAAGAGTGCTTATTCTAGCTGGAGAAAAAATCCAAACTCAGTCTGAGAAACCTAGTGGAATGTATATTGTTCCTCAAGGAACACAGCTCCAAGTGGAGCAAGGATCTCAGATCAGACACCCTGAGTCACACAGAAGAGAGAGAGAGAGAGAGAGAGAGAGAGAGAGAGAGAGAGAGAGAGAGAGAGGGAGAGAGAGAGAGAGAGAGAGAGAGAGAGAGAGAGAGAGAGAGAGGGAGAGAGAGAGGCGAATAGGCTGGAACTTAATTGCTCAGGAAAAATCTTTCTGAACAGATTTCATAGACTATAAGGACAATTAATAAACGGGATCTCACAAAAAAGAAAAAGTCTATAATAGTTATAATCTGAGAGATGGTTAGTATTCAAAATATATAAGGAAGTAAAAACAAAACAAACAAACAAGAACAAACAAGAAAATGAACATCAAAAAAACAAATATCTCTCCTTAATATCTGTATGTAGAACTAAAAAGATGTCTCTTAAACAATGAAACACCAAAGACTAAGAAACACATGAAACAGGTTCAAACCCCTTAGTTACCAGGGAGCTTCAAATTCAAACTGCTTTGAAATATCATCTTCTCATAGAATGGCAAAGAGCAATAAAACAAATGATGGCACATGTTTTTATGTACTGATACATGTATGATGTCACACAGAGAGTGACATCACATGCAATCTGCATGGTTTCAAAGGAGACAAAATCCCAGGACTTAGAAGGGAAGTAGACACAAAGTGTATAATGAACTTAAATTTTAAAACTATGGTTGTTGCTTCACATATGGTTTCAAAGTACTTACAAATATGCCAGTTACATTCTTTATAATGAAAACTTCTAAAATTCACATGAATTAACAAAATAATTAATAATTAATCTAAAGAGATTAATATTGACCAAGAACAGCAGCACAATACTGATTTGAAGCAAATTCCTGTACTATAGTAATCAGAACAGCATGATTTCTTCAAAAACATGTTCCAAAAGGCTGTTAACAAACACCACAAGAAAAGCAGAGGAGGAGACAATGGATGGTGTCTGTCTCAGAATACCATGTGAATCCTATTAATTTGTACAATTAACATGTGTTATGAGTATCCTTGAAGTACAATAAAAACCAGACAAGGACATACACCAATGGAAGAGAAGAAGAGGCTCAGACATAAACCAGTGAATTAACTAACTGCTGATCTTTGCCAAGGCTGTCAAAAACCCACAAAGCAGTAAGACGGTTCCTTCCACAAATAGTGCTGGAGAAACATGCCATCCAACTGCAGAAAAGCAGAATTGGATCCCATGCACACTGTACACAAAAGTCATCGGAAATAGATACAGATAAGTGCTAGGATGTGACCCTGGATATGTCAGTCACCGTGTGCGTGTGTGAGGCAAGCAGAGCAGCTTAGGGAAGGAGCGGCTGAGTAGTCCCAGCCAAGGCAGGGACTCAACCTGGGATGATGAGTGGACAGAGAAAACACGCTACACATTTGTGTCGGACTCAGATACAGACACACACAAAAGAAACCCTGTGGTATAAACATGCAGATGAACATGGAAAGTGTCTAGGTGAGTGGAGTGACCGGTTCTATGTGTAGAACTAAGGGAAGGAAGAAAAGGATGAATCAGCAAGCAAGATGACACAGGATGCAAGGTTCTAAATGTGCAACCCCAACAGCTTATTTCAATCTCTGGAACCCATATGAAGTGGGAAGGAATTGATACCTTGCCTACACACACACACACACCAATCCTCTACACTCTACATACACACACATACATGCAGCTACATGCACCACATAGCATCTCACATACAGCAATAATCTTTTTAAATCACTCAGTTCCCTTATTTAAATAGCCAAATTTATCCTATTTAGCTGTTTGTGACAAAGAGGTCTTCAGTGAACCTGTAGAATCATTTCTCCCCAGAATGCCCTGAGGACAGTTGACGAGTTTCACAAATTATGTGAACACAAGGGATTGGACAGATGTCTCAGTGGAAAGAACACTCACTGCTCTTGAGAAGAGGACCACAGTTTGATTACCGATATGCACATCAGATCGATTCTAACTTTCTGGAACTCCAGCTCCAGGGAATCCAAATCCTCTGAAGACCTAGGATGCCTGTACTCACACACACATACCACAAGCAGACACACACACACTACACACAATAAAAATACAGCTCTTAAAAATGTAAATGTAATTCCTTAACCTCATTTCCAAAATGTATCCTTGGTATCTCAGAAGACAAGTCAGGATTCTTCATCAACTGAGATGGGATGATGTCATCCACCTTCTCATCAAAGCATTCTTTCACCAAACTGCTTCTAGTGTGATGTCATCCACCTTCCCTAGGGAGCATCTGTCCATCTAACTTACTGCTCCTAGGAGAAGTAGCACTGTGCCACCTGGTTCACCTTTCAGAAGGGAAGACCTTGTTCATCTAGCTCTGCGAGAGCTGATGGGTAACAGCTCTCATATGCCAGCACTTAGAATGACAAAGGCCTCCAGGGAAGACTTCCAGTGATGGGTAGGCACTAGAGATGAATACCCTCACCCTTCACCCAACACAGACTAGCTCTAAAGTCCCTGCCCTAGTTCTCCTTCTGGAGTTCAGAGGTCAGAGGCTGCCCTGTGACTGTTCTTCCTCTCTGCATCCTGCATCTTTCCAGGTACTGGACGATATGAGAAGCACAAAGGTAGGATCCTCAATGAAACTGTGGAGGTTCTTGGGAAAAACTTCATTTTCTTCCCTAATACCTAACTACTGTACCTATTACCCTGGAATTTAACTACTAAACAATTTTTTTGGAGTGAATCAAATCATTCACTCAAATGGCAAGAAATAAAAGCATGTTTCACCCAATATAATACATCTTATCACTGGGTAGTGGTGGTGCAGGTCTTTAACACAACACTTGGGAGCCATGAGCAGTTGAATCTCTGTAAGTTTGAGGCCAGCCTGGTCTACAGAGCAAGTTCTAGAATAGGCTTCAAAGCTGCACAGAGAAACCCTGTCACAAAAACAAAAGCAACATCAAAAATTTGACCTTGTCTAAATATAAAATCTAAATAAATCAGTCTTAATCTCACACCTATTGTAGTTCAGTCTCTAGAACTATTAGATCTAGTCCTGAATTGGTCAACCAGTTTGATAACAAGGGCTCATAATGGTCAGAATGAATCTTATCCTACCTTTTCCACGTCACCCAGGCCCTCAGTGTCCAGGAGGACCAGCATGTGTTCTGGCTTGGTGGGGTGTGGCACACACCACATCCAGATGCCCTTGGTTTCAGACTGCACAGTGGAGCCCAGAGGGAAGCCTGTGGGGAGAGGTGAGGTGAAAGGGTTGGTTTATGAACTTCCTGCACAGGCAGCCTTATGTGCTTAAAAATATCAGTGCCTGGAAGTCTCATGCTCTGAAACTTCAGTGCCCAGAATCCTTGTGTGCTAAACTTCAGTTTAGGGAAACCAGCATCATCTTGAGGGATTCTGAAAAGGGATGGAAGTTGAGACTAGACCGAGGATAAGAAGTCATAACTCTTCCCAATCCCTTCCTCAATCTCTGCTACTAGTCTTCCATGCACCTGTCTCTGTGATGTTACTATAGCCCCAGGATTAACAAACCCAACCACTGGGGAGTGAAATTTCTAAAACTGTTTCGAGACAAATCCTTCCCCATTAAGTTGTTCACTCTGGTGTTTCGGACCCAGACATGAAAAGCAAAGAAGAGAACAATGCACATGAAAATCAGATGTAAATAGTAGAATTGGCAGTGTTGTGAATCTCAGCACTACAAATGGTGCTTCATCCTTCCTCAAAAATATATTAGTTTATGAATCATCTATTTCAAGCTATAGTGGACATTTAACAAGAGAATGATGCCTTGGAGGACTCCAAATGGAAACAGAAGCATGCACGGAGAGGAGAACATGGCACCCACTGGTGGCGGCAGTGAGGGTTTTGAGTCAGCCAGGGTTGTACTCACCTGTCATCCCTGAAGGCAGGAGACAGAGGCAGGGTGATTGTCAGTAGTTTGACAGCAGCTGATACTAGATAGCTAGAGCCAGGCCAAACAACAAGACAGTCAAAAATAGAGGTATGTTTTACAAACTGTGGGAAATGGTATGGGTTCCATGTCAGAAACATTCAAGAAGAGAAAAACAGGAAAGTAGAAAAGAGAAATTGTTGTAATAGTTTTTATACTCAAAGTTATTAAAGAAAAGCAGGAAAAACAAACAGGAATGTGCAACTATAAAGGAATATAAAGTCCTTTAAAATGTTTTTAAAGATTTATTTACAAAAGAACAGTCATTAAGATTTATTGATTTCATTTTATAAATATCAGAATTTTGCCGGCACATATGTGAGTACACCATACACATTCCCCAGATGCATAAAGGCCAAATAAGGGCATCAAATCCTCCAGAGCTGGAGTTTCAGAGAATGTTGAGTTACCACATGGGTACTGGCACCAAATCCAGTCTTCTACAAGAGCAGCCTAGATCGTCTCTCCAGTCCTACACAAATTTTTAAAGTCTTAGGTATTCAAAGAAATTTCCCCCTGGTGGAAATATTTTATTGAGAAAGAAAACACACGGTATGAGACCAGAGACTGACCCATGGGATACCATTGCTGAAGGCATCAGAAAAAACCCTGTCTTGAGCACTCCTGGGAGAAAGTTTCCCTGACGGAATGGAAGGAAAGAATGTGGGAACCGATTATTGGGGATCAGTAATTACTCATGCAAACTAGCATGAGAGAGTAGATGTGTTGAAAGGAGTTTGGCTTTCCTTTGTTTTAATTGGGAATCAGAATTAAAATAATGGCACAAAGACAGTCAAACCTTTGGCTAGTTCCCAGCATGCCACTCACCGTGATTCTGTCCTGCCAGACGGTTCATCAGGTAGGACTTCCCTGTACGGTACAATCCAACAATAGCCACAACTACCACTGGCTGGGAAATGTTTTCCAGAATCTCTATGGCTTTTTGGTTCACAGACAGCTGGTCCTTGTGGTTTTCCACCAGACAAATGGGAGACATCATTTGTGGTGTGGCCATAGCAACTGCAAAGCTAGAAGAATCTTCAGTAAGAATACAAAGTCATTTTCTGCCTCAGTGTTACTCAAGTCCAAGGTGAGTTAGGACTGATGACTTTTAAACATTTCCTAAGGCAGCAAGCAGATACAGAGGACATTTTCTATCATCCTTCCACAGTTCCAACGACGATTTGGTAAGATATGGGCTGCCATCATGAAGAAAAGATTGTCTTCAATGGAATAAAACCCGAACAACGGCCATCTTCATAAAGGGCTACAATATGCTAAGCCTTGTAATGAATACCTTACCTTGTGAACCCCACATTCTGTAAGTGCCTACAGGTTATAGATTACTGCACACTGACAATAAGGTAGGTGAGTTTGCAAACCCTTAATGACCCAAGAAATGGCAGATCAGTTGGTTCTAATCACTTGTTCCCTCTGTGAATTTAAAATGGCTGAAAATGTATAGGAGCTTTGGAACACACCCATGAATAACACACATACTGAGATGTCCTAATGAATAAACAGTGTGAAATATGTGTGTATGAACTAGACTTTTCAATGTTTACCTCTCACACACACGCAAACACCTGACAGATTCTGTCTGCAGGAAACAAAGCAGCCCTTAATTGTAACAGGCAGGCCTAGGGTAAACCTGGTCTGTGTTTTACCGAATTAGGATTTCAAGGACAGATTATTTCTTGAATGTGATATCAAAATCTCAACGGGATGAATATAGATAAAATACACATTGCAAAATTAGGAACTTTTGTGCACCAAAGGATGAGCACTGTATATTAAATATGCGAGAAAAGTTTAATATCTTAAACTTCTACAATAACAACCCATGTTTAAAATGGGCAGAACACTGTACCCTTATTTCTCCAAAGAAGGTTTATGAATGGCCATAAGCACATGAGAAAGCCTTCAATATTGCTAATCACTCTGTACAAGACAACTCTAAAATTTTAAAGAATTTATTTGAGAAAGATGCAGTGTACAAACTGGGAAGTGCCAAACTGAAAGATAAAGTGTCTGTGTTCCTACTGCAAAATGTCAGTCTGCTTTATTAGGGAAATGTGGGAGCTAAATTAAAAAGCTTTAGCTACTTGATTTCTGTCTTTTAGATTTGGAGACAGATGTAAAAGTCTGTAGTCACATAATCTCGTGTGACTTGGTTTCTAATAATTTATTGAGGTTGAGTCTTTCTCCAGGCTAACGTACATATTTGCTTGAGGTCATTTGTTGGTTTTGCATGTGCTTGCAGTTTAAGCAAGAAAGAGGTCATCATAATACCTACTTGGTTTAGTTGCTCAACAATCTTTCAAAACGAGTCTGCATTATAACGAGGCTTTAGGGAACATTGAGGAACTGCCACTCAAAACCAGATGTCACCTTGGACCCACCAGGACAGCTACCACAGAAAATAAAAACTAATAAATGTGAACCAGAATTCAGATCACTTAGATATTTGTGCACTGCAGCTAAGAACAGAGAATGATGCTACGTCATGGAGAATAGTCTTGCTTCTTATAAAATGAATAGTAACCTTTGATCCAAGAACTCTGCTGTGATTACATTCAATATACAGATAAGGATTTGGACACATTTGAAGATCTATGATCATGGCAACCAACGGCACAGTACCCAAAATGTGGATGTAACCCAATCTCTCATCCACAGATGTATAGATTCAGAGGATGTGATGACCCACACTATAGAATATTATCTTAGCAGAGAAAGGAATAAATTCTACTGAATAAATTCTCAGCACAAGCCTGAGAATATACAGGCTTGTATATTCTTGTGCTGAGGAAGGAGACTGTACAGGATCATGAGAATTTATATAACAGGTGACATCCTGTCCTATTGCAGAAGCACACATTTTATTAAATTATTAAGAAAGAATAAACTGTGGGGCAATATTATACAAGCCCTACATTGTATGATGGCCAGACTTTCAGAGCAACTTGTACCTGACCACACAGGAGGTGGTCACCTAGCCTTCCAGACAGGATGTTGACATTCTAACAAAAGAACAGGATATGCTAATATCATTCTACTTCTTTCTTTGTAACTATAGAGATCGCCAGGAAAGAGGTTTGAATCCAGGCTACATGACAGAGCAGTCATAGATGTGGACGTGACTTTAGTCCCGCTACCACAGAAACAGAATGCTAAGGAACATCCCCCTCAGTTTATCTTTTGATATAAAAGCTGTTTGGATAATAAATGCAGGTGATCTTCAGGCTTTGAAGAAACCATTGGACTGCCTCTTGATATTGCTGTGTGAATTGGGTCTCAATTATTCCCACGCCCCCACACTGGTCTGAGAGACAATTTATGTTGGGGCTGAACCCCGACAGGGTACACCTGTGGTGTGGCAGGAGTTTCTACCTAGCATGCCAGCTGCTTAAGTTAAAAGTTACACAGAAGAGTCTCTTAAAAGAGCTGCATTTCTGTAGACTGCAAGCAGTGAGCTCCGTGTACATTCTTTTTCCTTTTTCTCAGATCCTACGTTAGGAGATATTGGACCTGGGCTCCTCAGCATTGGACATCAGTTATAGTTGGTCTTTTTTGTTGGAATGAAATGACATGAAAACTTATTATGAGTTAAGGAAATTTTGATAATTTAGCTTAGGTTTATTTCCAATTAGTTCTGATAAATTAATCTACATTTTTCATGTGGTTTTATTTACCTGTCTTCCATTCTCTACGTCTCAATTGCTCAGTTTCTTCCATGTCTAGATTCAGAAACCTGAGTTCCTCTCTCAACCTGACTTTTCCATTCATTCACATTTTTATTTTTCTACATGCTTCTCTCCTCCCCTTTCCTAAGGAAATCCCCCATTTTCTTATCAAATCAATTTTACCCTAAAAATATGGAATCCTTCTTCAATTTGAATGTTACCCCTGCACAGGGGTCATGTTAATCATTTCTGTATCAGTCAAGGGTTAGTATAGGTGCTGACAAAGCAAGAATGGGAGCTGACTTCAATGCCCCACTATGATCAATAGATTCTCCAGATGCCTACCCTTCAACAAACTTCAGAGTTAAGCTGTGCTGTAGATCATATAAAGTCACAAGACTTCCACAGAATATTCTACATAATCGCTGAAGTCCATAGATCAAATGGACTCACAAGACTTCCACAGAATATTCTACACAACCAATGAAGTCACATCCTCTTTAGCTGCTTGTGGATGTGGATGTTTTGTCAAGAAAGATCACATCTTTAGCTGTAAAGCAAGTTTTAACAATCAAAAGGTAGTTTCTTGTATCCTAAAAGATCATAATATCCATATATGGAGAAGTCTTTGAGAAACTAAATTCATTCTTGATTACAGTCCTGAACAAACCAGGAAGAGAAAGCTCACATCTGCACACAATAAAGGGTTGTGTTAATCCTACCAGCTAGTTTATACTGAATAGGAATTAACTCAAATTAGTTCCTCTCAATACTGGATAGAGCCAAGGGTAACCATTCCTCTCAACTATTATTTAATACAGAGCTTTCATTTGCAGAGAAATTAGACAAGAGAAAGAAAAACTTATAATCAGGAAAGAAAAAAGTCAAATTGCCCTATTAGTGGATGAAACACCACCATGTTTAAAATCCCACTGGACTGATAGAGCACTTGCCTAACATATGGAAGCCTCTGGATTTGATCCTCTTAACCACATACAAGAAAAGGGCTCTGAATCCAGGGTCCAGCATGATATCTCTGCAGGTAAACGTTCTGGCTGTACAAGATTGGAGATATGAGTTCAATCTAAGAATACCATGAAAAACGACCACAATGGCATGCATTTGTAATTTCAACATGGGAGATCTCCTGGAAGCCAAAGGGTCAGCTACCCTGGAGTATCCAGCATGGAACAAAGTACAGGAGAGACCTCCTCAAGAATTTGGAAGAAAAGAATTGACTTTCAAAATTTATCCTATGATTTCCACAAAACAAATAGTATAACTAACACACACACACACACACACACACACACACACACACACACTGAAAATACTGAGACTAGCTGTGGGAGAGCAGCTCTGGATTAAATAGCAGAGTAGAATAAGGAAATACGCTTGCACACCTCCGAATATTCCCATAGACACACTATGTCACTATATAGTGCACTGTCAGTCACTGAGGTATGTGATGTTAGTTATGCTAAAATAAAGCCTTTCCTGAAGAGAAAAAAATGTAAAACCAAAGTCACCAAGACTATTAATTTTTGTTACTCATCCTAAAGTGAGCTGAACAGTAATCTTTGTATAGAAAAAATTTTAATTTTCTATATACCAATGTAGTGTGTTTGTGTGTGTGTGTGTGTGTGTATGTGTGTGTGTGTGTGTGTGTGTGTGCATGTACAAGGTAGGGTTGCCAGTTCTTTCATTTCCGTAATCCTTCTTAATTCTAATTACTTTCTTCAAGCAGCTGGTTTTGAGACTTCCTACTTCATATGGTTTTCAAATACGACCAACCTTAAATCAGAAAGAGTCAACAGAATGTCTGGGATGTCAGGAAAGTTACGTCAAACTAGTCTTACACACTTTTCAAATTCAAAAAATATGCAATGTGATTCAAATATTTCCAAATACTTAAAGAATGCAAAATTCACATAACCCAAAGAAAACCTTGGTTTATCTCTAAGTAAGACCTGTTCATCAAGGTGTCTGTAACAGTTTACCTTAGCAGAGGCACTGCTCTGGCATTATGGGATGGTTCCAGGCATAGCCTTTCTTTGAGTCTCCTCAACATCCAAAATTAACACACACATGAGATGTTTCCCCAAAAGCAAAGGCCAGGTGAAGCTTCTCTGAAGAGTCATTATGTTTCCCCCTCTTTTTCCTAAGCTGGGAGACTGATCTGCCCCTTCCTGCTATGATCTCAGGGATGCAACTTAAGGGCTTGGAGAGACGGCTCAGTGGATAAGAGAACACACTGCTCCTAAGTGGACCTGGGATCCATTTCCAGCCCCACATAGGGGAGTTCCAACTGTCTGCACCTCCAGTTCCAGTGATCCAGTGGCCTCTCTGACCTGCAGGTGTTCCAGCAGTGCACTTACATTCATGCAAGCAAAACACTCATGCACATCAAATAAAACTGAATAAATCACTTAAAATGTAACTCAATTCAGATTTGAGGGCCCCAAATGTATTTATGTTCGTTCTGATGTTCTTTCTCACCAAAATTCTCTATTCTTGCCTGTATTTTATTTTGTGAGAGGGTCAGGGAGCCAGAGAAGGGACCTGATAAACATTTTTAGTAGCCCCTCCAGAGACCAGAACTTAGTTTCAGTTTGCTGGAGCTGGCTGGATCTGAGCAAGTAGTTTTCAGGGAAAACCACAACTGGGGTCTCACTAATTAGCAAGCACCCCACAACCTTCTGCTGCTAGTCAGGTGCCCACAACCTTATGCTAGCTAAAGATAGCTTTCCTGCCCTGCAGCTGGATAGTTACTAACCACTAGACCCACCTACCAATCTCATAAACTTTTTGGTAAACCCAGTAGTCAGTCCCCAAACTAATCTCTTTTCCACGGAATTCTCCTAACCCTGTTTAAACAGGGCCTTTGATGGATAACCAATCACACCCCAAAATGTTATTAATTTTTCTTCTTTCTGACCCTAACATTTTTCACTTATCTTATTTATCTGCCTTTCAAATGCATCACAGATGCTTATCCACAGTTTAGTGTAGAAATAGCGTCTGCATGTGTGTGCATTTTAATACACATTGACTGAAGAAAATGCACTGATGGAGAGGGGCGAGTGTTAATACCGTAAGAAGGACTCTTCTGTGCAAATGCCCAGGCCTGGACACTGGTGCTTAATAAATAGGTTTTACTATAAAACTTGCTGTCTTCCTAAACTGGACCAGTGATTACATTTCTTACAAGTATTACACAGGAAAATAAAAGAAGATAGCATTTTAGATTCGTAATCCAGTGGCAGGTTTATACTCTAGTTGTTTTGGCTTTCAATTTTTCTGTTTGTTCATAGTTATTATGCACTATCTGAGTAAGAGTTGTAAGAATTTGATGAATGTCTGTATAGCAAACTAGAGATTTTTGTACAAATTTTAAATCATAAAATAAAGAAAAAGTTAATTGTACAGGTCCTTTACAATACCAGTGTTAATAAATCTTTTTTGCACTTGTGGGAACTTCAGTACTTGATAAAATTTTTACCCACGCAACATCATCAACCTTATTCACCTTCACACATCTGGAGAGATCAGAGGTTGTACATCTTCAACCCATTCTGAATACCACACTCTCTACAAACAGGTGACATGACCAAGACTTTGCCTTTCACACTTGGAAATGAGCTGAAAAGGAGTTCCCAGAACTATCTGCCCAAACTCACCAGGGTCAGAAGCAGAGGCCCAAACTTCTTGTGCACAGGATGGGAAAAGAGATGCAGCTCTGGCTTGAGGTTCTGGCTTCTGCCCCACAGTGTCCTGGAGCCTCTGTATCCTGGCCACCTCTGCTGCTGTCCTTCAAGGGTGGAGACCTATGTGCCTTGTAAAGATAGGAAAGGAAGGAGTTGTTCAGGATGCCATGGGGTGGGGTAAATAGGGTGGGGTGAGCACACTGTGTTTTTGGGGCACTGTGGGTTCATGAGATTGAGGTGTTCCAGCTCAGGGCAAGCTTCCAGAGAGCTGATCAGTCTGCACTGCACCCTATGTAAGGCCAATATCTGTGCTGGAAGATCAGAAGCCAGTATCTAGAACCCCAGAAGAGAGAAAACGAAAGTAGTGTTTCTGGCGGTGAGGTAGTTAAGAAATGAGGGGGTAACAAACATGGGATTAAGGACAGCTGAGGATATGATTCTTCAAAACCTCAGGTTGTTAATATACATTGATTTACAGCTTCACTTTATTTCTGAAGAGACCAATTGATAAATAATTCACTGTTCACAATCATAATCCCTATAATTGAGAGGCTGAGGCAGGAGGTTTGGGGGCTTCTTTCTTTGTAATTATAGAGATCGCCAGGATAGAAGTGTTAATCCAGGCTACATGACAGAGCAGCCATAGATGTGGACGTGACTTTAGTCCCGCTACCACAGAAACAGAATGCTAAGGAACATCCCCCTCAGTTTACCTTTTGATATAAAAGCTGTTTGGATAATAAATGCAGGTGATATTCAGGCTTTGAAGAAACCATTGGACTGCCTCTTGATATTGTGTGAATTGGGTCTCAATTATTCCCACGCCCCCACACTGGTCTGAGAGACAATTTATGTTGGGGCTGGACCCCGACAGGGTACACCTGTGGCGTGGCAGAAGTTTCTACCTAGCATGCCAGCTGCTTAAGTGTAAAGTTACACAGAAGAGTCTCTTAAAAGAGCTGCATTTCTGTAGACTGCAAGCAGTGAGCTCCGTGTACATTCTTTTTCCTTTTTCTCAGATCCTATGTTAGGAGATATTGGACCTGGGCTCCTCAGCATTGGAAGTCAAGTATGGTTGGTCTTTTTTGTTGGAATGTAATGACATGGAGACTTATTATGAGTTGTGGAAATTTTGATAATTTAGCTTAGGTTTATTTCCAATTAGTTCTGATAAATTAATCTGTTTCCATTAATCTACATTTTCATGTGGTTTTCTTTACCTGTCTTCCATTCTCTATGTCTGAATTGCTCAGTCTCTTCCATGTCTAGATTCATAAACCTGAGTTCCTCTCTCAGCCTGACTTTTACATCCATTCATATTTTAATTATTCTATGTGCTTCTCTCCTTCTCCCCTTTCCTAAAAAGATCCCCTATTTTCCTATCAAATCAATTTTACCCTAAAAATATGGAATCCTTTTCAAATTTGTATATGACTCCCTGCACTAGGACCATGTAAGTCATCTCTGTATCAGTCAAGGTTTAGTATATGTGTTGTCAAAGTAAGAACGGGAGCTGACTTTAATGCTCCACTATGATTAATATTTTCTTCAGATGCCTACACTTCAGCAAACTTCAGAGTACTGTGCTGTAGATCCAATAAAGTAACAAGACTTCCACAGAATATTCTACATAATCGCTGAAGTCCATAGATCAAGTGGACTCACAAGACTTCCACAAAATATTTTACACAATCAGTGAAGTCACATCCTCCTTAGCAGCTTGTGGATGTTTTGTCAAGAAAGATCACATCTTTCTTAAAGCATGTTTTAACAATAAAAAGATAGTTTCTTGTATCCTAAATGATCATAATATCAATAGATGGAGAAGTCTTTGAAAAACAAAATTCATTCTTGATTACAGACCTGAACAAACCAGGAAGAGAAAGCTCACACCTACACACAATAAAGGGCTGTGATAATCCAACCAACCACATTATTCTGAATTGGGAATAACTCAAATTAGTTCCTCTCACTACTGAATAGAGCCAAGGGTAACCATTCTTCAACTATACTTAATACAGAACTTTTATTTGCAGAGAAATTAGACAAGAGATGGAAAGAGTTAAAATCAGGAAAGGAAAAAGTCAAATTGCCCTATTTATGAATGAAACATCACCATGTTTAAAATCCCACTGGGCTGGCAGAGCACTTCCCTAATATATGAGAGCCTCTGCATTTTGTTCTTTGTACCACATACCAAGAAAAGGACTCTGAAAACCATCCAGGGTCCAGCAAGATACCTCTGCGGGTAAACATGCTGGCTGTACAAGATTGGAGACCTGTGTTCAATCCAAGGATGCTATGAAAAGGGGACTACAGGGGCATGCCTTTGTAATTCCAGCACAGGAGAATCACATGGAAGCTGAAGAACCAGCTAACCTGGAGGACCCAGCATTGAACAAAGTACAGAAGAGATCTCTTCAACAAGTTGGAAGAAAAGAACTGACTTTCAAAATTTATCCTGTGATCTCCGCACACAGTATAACACACACACACACACACACACACACACACACACACACACACACACA